GTTTGCTTGCACGGTAGATTCATGGACTATGACCTATTTGAGGAGCATGACTTTGGGATGCGCTGTGCTTTTCGGGCTGTTTCCCCAGTACCTTGCACTAGGCCTGCTCGCTTGTTGGGATCGGTAGGAGTAAGGCGAATCCCTAGGGTCCGACGACGAAATGGAAGTGGATAACTTCTATTTCTACGTCTACTTATCTGCAATTCAGAATATCTAGATCCATTTGCAGCTGCCGTCCCATGGTTAAATTTGTACCTTAATGTGATGCAAATATTTATATCGGTAAATGAATTAGATTGTAGGATAGTCATCGGTAATTAGGCCTTCAGTTGTTAAGGCGAACCACAGGTATTTTTAGCTGTCAGTTTCCCGTAGTTATATGTATCAACTATCATCTGGTCATGCATGGCGGTCATTCAACAGCACAGCAGCATAAAGTTAAAAACATTCTTTCCATACGCTTGTTTTAGAATCTGGCAACATTTCTTCAGGTTGCACTCGACGCTTCTTTTTTCTCCAGGACGTATATGATTTTTTCTGTAGTGTACAGCTTCAAGAAAAAAGATTCAGAGGAGAAATAAATAATTCTTTGGTGGTTTCTCCGCCTCTATTTAACATAGAGTTTGTTGAACTGTATAAATCCATGATTTGGGGTTTGCTCATTTATTTGTTTATCCAAATTCTCTCATAAATTTGACTGATACAACCAATGTCATAAGCAAGAATTGCATCAGTTTAGGCATGCAAATCCAGCAATCTCCTCATCATTGAAGATCAACTTTCCATCATTCATTCTTTCGTTGCCAAAGAAAAGATTAACATCTGAACATCCGCTTCAATTTTCTGTGCGGACATAATTTTGAAATCCTGAATGGTTACAAGTTGAAGAAAATTTTCGAAGAAAGAAATAAATTGATAATAAATACACAGAGAATTTACCCAAAACTTTCTTCTTCCATGTTACTTCCATCGACTTTTTGTCTTTCGAGAAATTCCCACAAATAAAATCCCAATTTTTGGTGTAGTTGGGCATTTCCGCATCTGTTGATCAAAACCATTTTAATTCCAACCAAAGTTCAGTATTTGGATCATGGGCTGAAACTTTTTAAGGGCTTACCAACGAAGAGAATAGCTGCGGAGAAAGCCGGAAGGTGATGGGATGGACGTTGGGTTTTGAGTTCGTTGTGATCCAAGGTCTATCAAGGTCAGAAATGGAAGCTTACTTTAGGCTTGAGCCTAATTTAGTCAGGAAGCCCAATTAAAGTGCTGCAAAAAGACTTCTTTCTATTTGGACTGTTGCACAAGTAATGCAGCAAAAAACTTGGCTTTGAAAAAGTTCTTTATTTTTTGTTCCCATGAAATTAGAAAAAAGCATTTTTTTTATCTGAAATGGATTTCTAATAGTCATCAGCTGGAAATATTTATCCAATGCATAGATAGCAGCAATTAGACATTGCACTTTTTAAGTTCTGTGGATTCCTTGACCCTGTAAAATCTTTGTTGGGTTTATGAATCAAAGACTCTATAATTGCTTGGTCAAGATTTTTCATTCATATCTGTAATTTCATTTTTTATTATCAAGTTGAGATCTTTTTTCAAAAAAAAAGAATTATTTCACTAAAACAAAATTTGCAGAATCTTGAGTATCATACAGTGTGCTAGCTGTTGATTTTTTTTTTAGCTGTTGGTTATTATTATTCAATGGAATGAAATGTCTTAGTTTAACTAACTTAGTTCAATGAAATCTCTGAGGATCATAGGTGGAAACTTCATTTGAAACCAACACCCTGCTAAAAAAATGCAAAGTAATTTTCAATCTTATGCAAACAACAGTGTTTGAAATGAACAATGTCTCCTACACATGTACTTTTTCCCTGCCACTCCAATCAGCTTTGAACACATGCTCAAGCACATGCTAGCACAAATGGACAATTGTACAACTTCAACACTTCCATATCTTGAATAAAGTGTGAAAAAAAAAAAGAACAAAATTTTTTATGAAAAAGAAGTAGGAAAGCAGCCACGCAAGCACGGCTGGTGAATATGAGGTGCCAGATGACCAAAAATCTTATGCCACATGAGCACGTAAAAGTGGGGGATTTTTTTTCCATTTTTCCAGTCCAAAACAACAGCAAAAGCCAAATGAAAAGCTTGTGAAAGTTGGCCCTCAATCTATGGACCTTATTCCAGTTTGACACAACTTTTTGTCCGCTGGCAGTCTACAGAAAGGAAAAGAGAGAGAGAGAGATAAGCCACCAGAAACCAAGGTGGCTCAAAGCTTCACCGAAGAGCCATTGTCTCCTTAATGACTTATTCCCCTCTATTCCCTATTAGCCGCCCCCAGTTGTAATCATTTTCGTTAGTGACTGTTTCCATTTTTGTTAGCGTTAACCCTCGATCGCTCTCTTATTTGGTGACCCTTTCCATTTTTGCTACCTTTAAACTCTCTCTCTCTTCTCTTTCTTATGCATCAAAACCCGCTTCATGTTTTTCTTTATTGGCCGTTAGGGTCTCCCATGCGCCACTTCCATCTCCACAGTCAATAAAACTTTGTCCCTTACTAGTTGCTTCACCTATGTCCTTGGCTTAACCCTTCTCAAGTCTCCCCTTATAAGTCTTGCCTCCTTTAACTTTAACCCCTTATTTACTTGTCTATACATTTATTTTTTAAATAATTACAACTCTCTTAATTATTATTACCTACTATTTTATAAACTAACTGTGATATCTCCATTTTTATTTGAGCTTAATGCTTCTTCGAAATGATCTTAATAATATATGTTTTATATCAATCAAGTGCTTTCAAGATTTTATTTTTATAATAAAAGTTGCAATCTACGGATAAAAAGAAAATTATTGATATTGAAATTTGAATTTAAATTTATTGGATATTTTCTTTTAAAATAATTCTATGAATCAATTGAATTAAATTTCAAATTAACATTCAAATTTTATTATTAGAATCTCTTATGTAATTGAATTAATTTTTATTAATAAAATTTTTTTTCTTTTTACCAATTGAACTAACCACAAGTGTAACTAAATTATTAGCTTACCTCATGCAATTTCAAAGAATCTTCACATTTTTAATCTAATCTACTAACCTACTTCCATTAAACAAGTTTATGAAAGTTTTAATTGAGCTTGTCTAAACCTTTGCGCCACATGCATTACTTGAATAATAATAATATTCTTTACTTTTAAATTTAAAACCCTAAGTGTAGTGGACCGCCATAAAAATTTCAAATGGAATTACTACTGTTCTTATTTTTTATATTTCAATCTCAATTACTTAATTTATTCCGAGTTCATAACATCAATTCTTCAAAAATATCTGATAATTTGTATATGTAAAGTAAAAATTGCATTGTTATATCTTTCAACTTGATAATTGGCAACTTCCTCAATCATAGACTCATGGTATTATAAACCAGAGCTCCTCCCTAACCAACTAGACTTTATGTATTTTCGCTTGAAAATGCTAGCTGTAACATAACAATATTTTATGTGAAAATGTTATAATTAAATAAATATAAATAATTAAGAATTTATATTTGATGCTATACACGGCTAATAAATCACACAATAATATTTCATAAAATTTAATTTTAAACATATTTTTAGCATTAAGTGTATTTATTTTTTTGAATTTAAAAATTTAAAAATTAATTTTTTTATGAGATATCATAGTATAGTTCATTGACAGTATATAACATTATACACTGATAATACATCAAATATAGATTTAATAATTAATTATCAATTCTGCTTATTTTTGTTTCTTTCTATTTTTTTTTCCTATCATGGAAGGAAATGATTATATAAATTTCCATGCACAAACGTTTGTAGGTTTTTTTCCTCAATATTAACACTAGTTCAGCCTATTCTCCAAAGAGGGTGAGAGAAAGGTAATTGAATGTTTTTAGAATCATAAGAAAATTCTTATCTCTTTGTCAAAAAAGATAACACTTGACAAATGATTCAATTAAAAAACCTTAAACTTTTTTTCTAAATGATTTTAGTTTTGTCAAGCTTAATTGTTTTTTGGTACAAAAAAAAAGTCATTCAATGAAATCACTAATTAACTTTCTGATTATACAAAATAAATTATTATAAATAATTTTTTTATATTTGAGATTGTTAAAAATTAATGTTATTAAAAATAAAAGTATATTAATTTATCAATAAATCACATGATTATTGATAAATAATATTTTAATTTAAAATGTCTCAACAACAACTGTTAGAAAAATTTTCTATTTTAAACAAAGGAATAAAAAAAATTTGTTAATCTATGCCAAATTGAATAGACTGCAGTCATAAGAGAAAAAAATTGGCATTAAAATTAATGTTGTGGAATTATTGAAATTCAAAGTCACCTTACAGTTAATAATGGGATTATTTCATTCATAATATTTTTATTACAATCTTGCAATTAGTTAATTAAAAAATATATGTAAAAGTTCATTGTTTAAAAATGTGCACTTCACATAAATTTTTTATGGATTATATATAATATTAAATATAATTGATAAATTTTATTATAGTAAGTATAAGTAATATGCTCCATCATAATTACACTCTTTTCCCTTCATATACCAAATTTAAAAAAAACAGTATTAGATTGAATTTTAATTATTAAAATTAAGAGTTGATATCAACAAATAGTAGAACTGTTGATATCTTCCAGGAAAGTTATTATCCAGCCAGTGTTTAACTAACCACGGTACGTTAGCTTTATCTATAATCACATTCCTAAGCCAAAAACAAATACCTTAGCTCGAACTTTCCCGGAAAACCAACCTCAGAAAATCATTTTTTTTTTTTTGATACTTCAGTTTAAACATGCCAGATAAGTTGATGAAAATTTACAAAGACAATAATTTTTGTTTCATTGTATTATTTGTTTTTAAAAAAATAATAAAAACCAATTTTATTAGATATTATAAGCGGTGTTTATTTATTTGCCTGATGGCTTCCGAAAATAATCGTGTCGCTACTGCCTCCTTTGACCCACTGCAACCACTCGAGCCACGGCTCTGTACTTCTGCCGACGCGAAGCCCCAAACCAAAAACCAAAAGAAAAAAAAAATCTCACTCAGGAGTAAAGGTAAAACTTAAGCCGTTGAAATTAGATTTATAACCTTGTTGAGGGTACCATTTTCTCTTGACACGTTTCTACCTTCCACGAGCCTATATAAACTCGTCACCTAAACCCCAGCTTCTTCATTGTCTCAGTGAAAAACCATCCCTAAACCAGAAAAAAAAAATGGAAAATTGAGTGAAAAGAAGAAAAAGAGAGTGAGAGAAAGAAAAAAAAAAGCGAATTTTCCTCCTCTCTTTCTAGTTACTCTTTACAATTATGGCTGCTTATGTCGATAATAGAGAATTAAGTAGCCTTGAACAAGCTTTGAACGGTGCTTTTACCCCCTTGAAGGCAGGTCCAACTCCAACCCACCGCTCTGTGAAACACGTTTTCGTCAACCATGATTATGACTCTTCCAGCGAAGATGAAGAAAATAATATCAACCATTACAAAGATATGATTATCAAATCCAAACACGAGCTTGAGCACTCCATCTTGGACCCTAGAGATGAAGCAACTGCTGATAACTGGATCGAGCGTAACACTTCCATGGTCCGTCTCACAGGGAAACATCCTTTCAACTCTGAAGCCCCCTTGAACCGCCTCATGCACCACGGTTTTATCACCCCAGTTCCTCTCCACTACGTTCGTAACCATGGTCCGGTTCCTAAAGCTTCGTGGGATGACTGGACCGTTGAAGTAACCGGTTTAGTTAAAAGGCCGATGAAGTTGACCATGGAACAGCTCGTGAACGAGTTTCAAAGCCGTGAGTTCCCCGTTACCCTGGTTTGCGCTGGGAACAGACGTAAAGAACAGAACATGATCAAACAAACGATTGGTTTCAACTGGGGAGCTGCTGGGGTTTCCACTTCAGTGTGGAGAGGTGTACCGTTGCGTGACGTGCTCAAACGATGTGGGATATTTAGCAAGAAACATGGGGCTCTCAATGTGTGTTTTGAAGGTGCTGAGGATTTGCCAGGAGGCGGTGGGTCCAAATATGGAACTAGTATAAAAAAGGAGTTTGCTATGGACCCGTCTCGAGATATTATCTTAGCTTACATTCAAAACGGCGAGCGTTTAGCTCCTGATCATGGTTTCCCTGTTCGGATGATCATTCCAGGGTTTATCGGTGGGCGAATGGTGAAATGGCTGAAGAGAATCATGGTTACTACTCAAGAATCTGAGAGTTATTATCACTATAAAGATAATAGAGTACTTCCTTCTCATGTTGATGCAGAGCTGGCCAACGCTGAAGGTACTAAAAAAAGCTCAATTTCATTTTTTTACGGAGCAGTAAAATTATTTTGCATGGGAAATCCCAAAGCTGTTAATGAAACACGGTGACGTAATGTTTGCAGCTTGGTGGTATAAGCCCGAATACATCATCAATGAGTTAAACATCAACTCGGTGATAACGACGCCTTGTCATGAAGAGATCTTGCCAATTAACCCGTGGACGATTCAGAGGCCGTACACTTTGAGGGGCTATGCATATTCGGGTGAGTTTCTCAGGAAGATTTTTTTTTCTTGCTTTTTAAACTTAGTTTCCAAAAGGGAATCTTTTGGTTTTCTTCTCCAATTGGAATCAACCGTACATACAAATGACCCCGACATGTTTCGCTTTTAGTTTTAGGCCCGCACACAACTGCAAAACTGGACAAGGTTTAAGGTTGTCCTCCAATAGGTGTCCCTACTTATATTTTTATTAATTAGATTAGACAGAAAAATACTTTCAAAAAATTTCAACCTATCGACGGGAATCGATTGTAGTCTTGTAGATTTTTGTCATAAAAAGCTTAAGTTGTTCATCTTTTTTCTATTTACTTCAACTCCTTTAGAATTTCGTTAAAATGGGGTTTTTTTTCTTTATCATTTAGGAAAAAGAGCTGCTGGATTCACTGGCAAATCTTAAGAACCTGTAAAGTTTGAAAAGCCAAATCTTTCTGTTCTGACATTACAGATAAAGACTAAACAATTTTAAGGTTAGTGGAAAAGAAAGCAAAAACGTTTGGAAAAATGTAAATGTCAATGCCAAAGAAAGTTGGTTGATTGAAACTTGCGTGCCAGTGTGTGCAAGTTGTGGGCAATGGGATTTGTCTTTTACCTGTTTTTTTTTTTTTGGAAAAGTCGTGGAAATGAAGGTAATCCCATAGCTAAACATACTTTTTTGATGTAAATTGACAAAAAGGGGGTGGGAAGAAGGTGACACGTGTGGAGGTTACAATGGACGGTGGTGAAACGTGGCAAGTGTGCACGCTAGACCACCCCGAGAAGCCAAACAAATATGGCAAATTCTGGTGCTGGTGCTTCTGGTCGTTGGAGGTGGAAGTGCTTGACCTGCTCGGAGCCAAAGAGATAGCGGTTCGAGCCTGGGATGCGACCCTTAACACCCAGCCCGAGAAGCTAATTTGGAATGTTATGGTAAGTAATTAAACACGTCTACTTTTATACTACTACAAACTTTCTTGCACTAGATTCTATACTAGGGGTTACTCATCACATCAATCTTGATCATCTATTAACGTTTGAACACGTGTTAATACTTAAGTGGTCAAAACTGGCTAAAGGACACTTGAGGCCTATTGGGTACAACAGTCAATTAAGGTATGGCTAGTGCCATTGGTGCCTTGTGCATTGGATTCGTGTTCTGTGTCCCTACTATGAACAGTCAATTAATATATCCACCCTATGTGTTATTTGTAAGGCCAAAAACGTGTTCCAACTGCAAACATACAATGAACAAATATCTCGACATATAGAATATAGACTAAGGCTGCATTTAGATATAATTTGGTGTGATTAAGCATTAATTATTTTGTAATTTTACTGTGATAATTTGTTTAACACAATCTTGCTGCATTTGCATTAAAAAGTTTTTACCGAGCTCAAATCTCTGAAGAGAGGAAGTATGATTAAGTAGGACAATTAAATCCTTATATCTTGATAGTTAATTTAGTTTTACCCTTATCTAGTCACAAATATACAAAAATATGTTAATATTTTCTATAAAATAAATTTTCATATATTAAAGCTATCAATTAAAATATAAAGTATACATGAAAATAATTAATTAATATAGTACATTTTCAGATTAATGTTTTTAATTGTAAATACATTATTAATTTTTAATAAAATTAGTATTTGATATAAAAATATTATAATAAATTTCAATTAATTATTCATTTATAAATATTAAAAATATAGTAAAATTTTATTATAAATAAATTTTAATATAATATCTTTAATGATAATTTTTTATTCTCATTATATTTCACCTTCTTATCGTTATTTATTATGTTGGCATTTAAATATATATCTTATTATTGATTTTAATTTTACTATTATAAAATTTAATTTTTTTCATAATTAATCTCAACGATATCACTATTTTAAATCACGTCGAATACAATTTTACATCATCAAAATGCACTCTACTTTCTTTAAAATTTTTTTTGGACAAAATAAGTACGTAATGGTGGTTTTTTTTAAGGAAAATCAGTGGATGTCCTCTAATGGAGTTAATGGTTTAATCATATGTAACAGGGAATGATGAACAACTGCTGGTTCCGTGTAAAAACAAACGTATGCAAGCCGCACAAAGGAGAAATCGGGATTGTTTTCGAGCACCCAACTTTGCCAGGCAACCAATCCGGCGGATGGATGGCTAAGGAACGACACCTTGAAAAATCAACCGATGCAAACCCAACCTTAAAGAAGAGTGTCTCATCTCCTTTCATGAACACTGCCTCCAAAACCATTTCAATGTCTGAGGTCAAGAAACACAACTCAGCTGATTCTGCTTGGATCGTCGTCCATGGTCACATCTACGATTGCACTCGGTTCCTCAAGGATCACCCTGGTGGCATGGATAGTATTCTGATCAACGCTGGTACCGACTGCACTGAAGAATTTGACGCAATTCACTCTGATAAAGCCAAGAAAATGCTAGAAGATTTTCGAATCGGTGAGTTGATCACGACGGGTTATGCTTCTGACTCGTCTACTTCATCGCCTAATAACTCCGTGCATGGGGCATCGAACATGAGCCTTTTAGCTCCTATTAAAGAAGTTGCGCCCACAAGACCTGTGGCGCTAGTTCCACGTGAGAAAATCCCATGCAAACTCGTCGAAAAAACATCGATTTCTCATGACGTTCGTCTGTTTAGATTCGCATTGCCATCGGAAAATCAAGTGCTAGGATTACCCGTAGGGAAGCACATATTTTTGTGTGCCACGATTGATGAGAAGCTGTGCATGAGAGCCTACACCCCAACTAGCACCATTGATGAAGTGGGCCATTTTGATCTAGTGATCAAGGTTTATTTCAAAGGGATGCATCCGAAATTCCCTAATGGAGGGCTGATGTCTCAATATTTGGACTCTCTGCCACTAGGGTCATTACTAGACGTGAAGGGTCCTTTGGGTCACATTGAATATACAGGTCGTGGCAACTTTTTGGGTCATGGAAAACCGAAGTTTGCCAAGAAGCTGGCAATGTTAGCAGGTGGAACAGGGATCACCCCGATTTATCAAGTCATCCAAGCTATATTAAAGGACCCTGAGGACCAGACAGAGATGTATGTGGTGTACGCGAACCGAACCGAAGACGATATTTTGCTGAAGAAAGAGCTTGATGGTTGGGCTAAGGAGCATGATCGGTTAAAGGTGTGGTACGTGGTGCAAGAATCAATCAGGGAAGGATGGGAATATAGCTTGGGTTTCATCACGGAAATTATATTGAGGGAGCACATCCCGGAGGGCACAATCGACACTCTTGCGCTGGCTTGTGGGCCGCCGCCAATGATTCAGTTTGCTGTGCAGCCTAATTTAGAGAAGATGAACTATGACGTCAAGGATTCTTTGTTGGTTTTTTAAAAAGAAAAAAAGGAAAAGTCTTACAGGATGGATGAGATGAAATGACGAAGTCTTTGTGTACATGAATATTATGTTCCTTGCATTATTCCTTTTTGAAAATTGTTTTTATTCACTTTTCCTTGTATCGTTAATTTTTCACTTTAAAAATTGAAGAAAGTTGCTTGGAAAAAGACTATATCGAAGTGCATACTATTTGACGACAGGTTTCCTCACAGTACTATCTTTTGCAATATCTAGGAAAAAGTAATATTTTACACCACAGAATTACTGGAAAGCTCTCCAAGACAGTTTTTTTTTTTTTTTTAATTTTCATCCCTGTGATATTATTCGCAATCAAAATAGTTAAGAGAAAGATTAGAAATTTCGTTTACCACCAGAAGCCGAAAGCCAGTATTTTTTACCCGAAGAATTATATCATACTCTGCGAAACTAAATAATTAACCAAGGTACCACTCACTTCGTACTTTGGATATTCGGATATATCCCGTACCCCATCTCTTTTATAAATTATACAAGTACGTAGAAAGATGAACAAATGAAATGTTTGAACAATTATGGAAGTATTTAAAAACTAAAAAAGTGTTTAAAAACTAAAAGGTGTTTGAAACAATATCTTTCATAAACATAAATGACTTGAACAAAGGATAATCACTTTCTTTTGAAATATCTTTTCATGCACATATATGATTTAGATGAAAAATAACCATTTTTTAAACGGAATAATACACTAAACAGATATATATTTTTTTAAAATTCTAAGATAAAAAGGCTATTAATCAACTTTTAAACATCATTGTTTTATAATGATACATATGACATGAATTCTAAACTTTGAATTTGACAAAATCACGTTAGAAAACATACAATATTGATTTGTGTTCGTCAAATTGAGCAAAATAGGCATGTCGCATATACGAAAATTTCATACTACAAATTAAAACGCATAAAAAGAAAAACTAAAATTTAATGCTCACCAACACTTTAGAATACAGAGACAAATGAATGTGATGTGTCTGCCCCGATAAACCCAACCATTGTCATCGCTACATACCAAAACCCCACCACGGGCTACAGTGGAGTGAATTAAGCGCGAATTAGAGCGTGGGTCCACAGGAAAGAGCAGTGATTTTTGGCCATCGCCGCGTCCGAGGTCTGCATGGCTGCTCCTCTAGCTGTGAGCCAACTTAACTACTCATAGGTTGGCAAATGGACGCCTTTGCTTCTTGGAATGTCGAAGGGTCACCTTTGCATAGTTTCCGCGCTCGCCTTACATTTGCCTGGCCCCTTTCTCATTTTTTTATCTTTTTCAGTTCACACTTTAACCTTTCAGACCTTTCGTCTCCGCTTCTCTTATTAATTATACAATGTTTCAAATCTTTCAATCAGCAAGTGGGAACCAAACCAGGAAGTCATTTCTTGTTGCCTCTCACCTGAGTTTGAGTGCTCTACTCAAAGACCATATAGAATATATTGTTATATATATATATATATTTATGGTAACAGGTTCTTATTTTACATTATATTTTTACTATTGGATCTCTAGGAACTTCCCTGAATCTCAAATTTTTTAATGGGCATGTTGCTTTTGAAGAGTCTTTTAGTTACCACATACTTTCCCTGTCAGGAATCTTCTGATTACTATTAGTCAGTATTCATTTAACTGAATCTTGTTACAATCATTTTAAACCAAGTTGGTAAAATTAAACTCTAATATAAATAATTATTTTTACTTAAAAGGACAAAAAGACTAGAGAAAACATATTAAATTCTATCAAACAATAACAAATGCAGGCATATGATGAATCAATCCACCAATTTTATCAAAGATTTTGAAATTCAAGCTAGGATGAATTTGAAAAAGTGTGCCTATGTTAATTTTTTAATATAATTTAAAAATATATTTTAATAATAGATTATACGATCTAAAATATCATTCATTTGTCTCTAATCTTAAACACAATTTGTCACTGATAAAATATCCTACTATATAAAAACCAACCATGGTTTTTCAGTTCTTCAGTTTAATTGTATTGCTGCAACGTGAGAATTATGACCACCAATTAAAAAATTTGGTAGACAAATTTTAGTAGAACACTTATTTCTTAAAGTGCCTTTGACTCTGATAAAAGAACGCCCTTTAACGAAATAGCTAGGATATTTTGAGCATTAAAAAAACCTTTAGTAAAAACATTTATTTTTACCCTATGACTATGAGCCAGGCTTGGGAAGCTAAAGGCTTTAGCCGCTGATCTTGCGCCAGAAAAATATAATTAGGGTTTATTTTAAAGAAAGTTACTTAAAAAACAAATAAAAAAAATCTTAATTGCATTGATGTTTGAAATGTTTAAATTTTATTTTCATTATTAATAGAATTTTTTTGTTAAAAATTTATAACGTAAAATTTGTGACATATTTTGATCTTAAAATGAGATAAATTTTGTTCTTTTATAAAAGGGAGCCATTATTGTATTAATCCAATGGGTTAAAATACCCTGACAACAATTTTATGGAATGTGGCTTTTGGCCCTTTTGAAATCATTTGGTTCTGTGGTTTTGTGTTTTATTTTTATTTTATTTTTAATCTATATTTTAAGTTTGAATCTCTATTTTCAGAATTACTTAATTAAAATAATATTATGTGTATAAATTTTTTGAAACAGATGATATTCAAACTCCAGCTCATTTGTTAAGTTGTTCATTTTGTCATTTCTATTATCCATTTTCTTCTACAAAAGGTTAATTCATAAGTTGAGAAAGCTGTTTTTTTTTTTCAGTTGGCAAGTCACCTTTCTTAGTGCCAATTTGTGTATTTCATTGCAAATAATAATGTCGTCATGAATGGAAGTGATATAGAAACATCCCTGCATGTTCACCTTCGTACAATAAGGAGTCAAAGATTCTAAGAGAAACAAATTAATGTCTGTCTTAATGTTGATAGCAAAGTCTAACCAATCGACATTGTTGTTTCCAAACACGAAAATGGCTATCAGAATTTATATGTGGGCACATGTGAGTGACTTCCCAATTGATATTTTTCCAAGCCTTGAGAGTAGGATTTCCTGATGGTAATATCTTCAAATTAAGAGTAAAAAATGGGGATAAGGAGAAGAACCAGTAGCAGGGCCAGCTGACACCTCAGTGTCATTTGCTTCCTGTATTCTGTCAATCACATTCAAAATATTATAATCTGTTTGATACCCCAGAAAATTTGAGGCAGCTTATTAAGCCACAGCAGCCTGGTTGAGACATGAAAGGACTATAGCTTGTGCTCACAAAAGTCGTCGATCAGGACCCTGACCACCCTTTTCGGCCCAGACCACATACAAAATCTTATTTCAGCTCACGAAACTTAACTTATGGGAAAAGGCCCAAACTTTTCAGCATAATAACCATCTGAAAATTTCTCCAGACCCATAAATATTTTTACCCAAAAAACTTGTTTAGCTTGCGGATCTCCTGCAGCTGTGCGAGGGTTTGTTTGTAAATTTACTAGTTTTCCTGATTTTCAGAGCATGAAATCAAAGGATATTTTTATTATTTTTCTTATTTTTTTATCTAAATTAAAAAAAAGTCTACAAATTAATACCTAGACAAAAGACGTCAAAATTGGTATAAACTATGTATTATTTTGATCAATAAACTAATATCATTAATCAATTTATCCATGGATATTTAGTCAATAAAATCACGTGTATGCCACATATGAAATAAAATTATTAAATAATTTTTTGAATTTTCACATAGATGCCATGTGAGAATATGTGATTGGTAATGAATATATTAAAATTTGTCCCAAAATTGAAAAATATTAATAAAAGAATTTTTTTAATTTTTGAAAAATGAAAAAAAAAAAAAGAGAGGAAATGAATACTGGCATCTATTTTATCAAGAATCCTAGAAAGCAAGAAGTGTTTAGTGGAAGCAAAAGAACATTTGGAGTGAAAAGACTTCCATTAGTCAGGTGCATGGTAACCCAACGTTTAGCATCAGGAATCTTTGCCAAGTTGATAAAGAAAGGGAAATATATGTATATACGACAAGCTAATAAAATAATATTTCTGTGGAAGATATTGTTACTTTGAGTTTGTATTGGACAAATTATTAAGTGAAATTATAATCATCACTAAAAATTTTTTTAAAAAATCGTACATACATATCCATTCATGATATATATATTTAAAATGTAAAAATTTTAAATTTAATCTAATTAATTTATATAATTATTTTTAAAATATGATATTTAATAAATTAAAACTTTAAATCATGATATCTATAAATCCTTTTATCATTTTCAAATTATAGTTTCGTTATGAAAAAAAAAATTTAATATGGATTATTAAAAATTAAATACAATATAAGATCTCTTTTATAAAATTTTGAGGAAATCTTAAAAGGAAAGATGAATTCGAATCTTAAATCACTACCAAGTTAATGCTATGAAGGAAAACGTAATTGTTAGGCCAAATCAAAGAATAATTTAACCAAGCAACCTTGTAAAACTAAGAAAATATCATTAGATCCAGTATACTGTAAACCAAAAAATTTTGGGATAAAGACAATAACCTGTAAGCATAAGAATCTGACATAATTTTCACTTCAACTTTATGTCGACATAAAGGTGCCACTGGCCATGCATACCCAAAAAGAATAAGTTATCCCTTCCCTTCCTTTCTCTGTTTATTTATAGGAAGGGGTGAGCAAGGAGCTAGGCAAAGGTAAGTTGAGTAGTGAATTTATAAGCTCCATGGCTCAAGGGGGATCGTCTCTGTCTGCAGAAACTGAGACACTGAGCAATGTCCGAAGCTTGGTGGAGGCATTCAGACCATTTGATGCAGACAATGATGGGGCAATCAATGCCGCAGAGCTGGGTGGACTCCTGGGATCGCTTGGTTTTGACCCTAGCGAACAAGATGTGCAGGCAATTATGCAACAAGGAGACACTAACAACGATGGATTGCTGAGCATTGAAGAGTTCCTGGACATGAACACAAAGGACATGGAACTTGGGGAGTTGGGCAATTTTCTCAGGAGGTCTTTGCGAGCTTTTGATGTTGAAGGGTACGAGACTCTGAGAGCAGCGGAGTTACATGAAGTTATGGGGAACCTTGGAATTGAGTTTTCCCTCAAGGATTGCCAAGCTGTTATTGCAGCTATGGATGCAGATGGTGATGGAGCTGTTAGCTTGGAGGACTTTAAACTAATAGTTAATTCTCTCCTCGATTAATAATTAAATGTATCAAACTTAATTCAAAGCTCGTGTGTGTTTACTGTTAATAATTAAACAAGCTATGTTTGCTATCTAGACTCTGGGCGCTTTCATTTCCATGCATGTCGATGAGTGAAGAACATATTACTAGCAAAAGTCCTGCATGTGATCTGCCATCAATGGAAACATAGTTTTTCGTTTTTGATATTTAAAGTTGTCTAGTTTTGAATATCGATAATTGAAATTAGGATTCTAGTATACTATCTGTAGACACCAAATTGGGTCCAGGCCCAGATCAATTGGGCCAGGCCCAAATGGGTAAGGCCCATTTCAATCCTGTATTTTTTTTTTCTTTTCTTTTTCTTCTTTTGTATTTTATGTATTTTATTATTATTATTATTATTTTTTTGTAATATATTTTTGGGTTTATCTTATGTTATTTTTTTTTATTATCTGTTAATTTTATCTGATTTTTTTTCCGAATTATCTGATATTATATATATTTTTTTTATACTATCATATCTTTTGATTATCTAGTATTTTTTTTATTTATTTTGATTTTAATTCTGGATGGCTAAGATTCAAAGTTGAAGAATCCCACTCTGGAGGGGAATTCAATCAGAAGAGTCCAGTTGGATTCAAAGACTGAATTCCCGTCCAAAGAGGAATTGGGATTGATCAGGAACTCCTGATCAATCCCTATAAAAGGGACTCTGGAACAGAATGCAAAAGACAGAGAAAACAGTGAGCAAAGCTACTGATTTGAGAGAAAAAGGCGTATAGGAAGCTAGGGAAGGTTTAGGAGTGTTCTGAGAGTGAGGAGAATTTTTTCTAGAAATTTTGGGGAAAAATTTTTCTGGAAATTTCTGGGAAATTTCCAGATTCCGGCAAAATTCCGACGAAACTTGAATTTTCCGGCTACAATTCCGGCCAACTTTGAAGTTTCCGGCGACCTACCCAGTTTCCGGCGAAGAATCCCAGAAACCGACGATCTTCCGGCCAACTTCCGCGCGAAATTTCCAGATTCCGGCGAAAATTTCCAGAATCCGGCACCGGTGTTCTTCAGTTTCTAGAGAGAAGGGAGAGAAAAAGGAAGAAGAGAGAGAGAGGGGGAGGAGCGTTCTGTCGAAAAATGGAGGAAGGTGCCTTTTATACCCTCCCAAAACGACGTCGTTTTGGCCTTAAATAACCCAGAGGATCCTCGCGTTTTGCCGAATCCGACCCGACCCGGGCGTCGACCCGCTTTCTGACCCGCGCGTGCCAGCCCACTCCGAGCCGAGCCGAGCCGAGCCAAGCCGCCAAGCCGCCAAGCCGCTCCCCCGAGCCGTTTTCTCTTCCTTGAGCCGAGCCGAGCCGAGCCGCGATCCGAGCCACTCCAGGTTTTTTTTTTTTTTATTTCTTTGTTTATTTGTTTATTTTATTTTTTATTTTTTATTTATTAGATTAGGTTTATGTAATATTCTTTTTATCTATTTTTTTATTATTTTATTTTCTTTAAGTAAAAATAAAAAAATTCTAAAAGAATATATTTTTAGTGAAAAGTTGAAAGTATCAATTTTCCTTAGAAATAAATTTTCAAAAAATATTTTTGGGGAAAAGTTGAAAGTATCAATTTTCCTCAGAAATAAATTTCAAAAAAAAATATTTTTAGGAAAAAAGTTGAAAGTATCAATTTTCCTTAAGAATAAATTTCTAAAAAATATTTTTAGGGAAAAGTTGAAAGTATCAATTTTCCTTAGAAATAAATTTCCAAAAAAAATATTTTTAGGGAAAAGTTGAAAGTATCAATTTTCCTTAAGAATAAATTTCTAAAAAAATATTTTTATGGAAAAGTTGAAAGTATCAATTTTCCTTAAAAGAAAAATAAATTTCCAAAAAAAATATTTTTGGGGAAAAGTTGAAAGTATCAATTTTCCTTAGAAATAAATTTTCAAAAAAAGGGTTTTTGAGGAAAAGTTGAAAGTATCAATTTTCCTTGAAAATCGAAATTTCCAAAAAATATTTTTGGGGAAAAGTTGAAAGTATCAATTTTCCCTAAAAAAAAAAGTCATTCTTTCCTTCCTTTCTATCTTAATTTTGATTTTGTTTTTTTCTTTAAATAATCCGACGACGGAGCCTCTGTAAGTGAAACAGTAGTTTTTCTTGCATACTCTTGAGGTGAGGGAATTTTCTCAATTTTCTGCTAAAAGTATTAGAGTCAATTGAGAAAAGTTTCCAATAATTAATTACTTGGTAAAATTTTAAGGCTTTTGGATAACACAAATTTAAGCTGGTACCATCTTTTGATGGGCGTTGTGAGGGTGCTATAACCTTCCTCACACGTAACCGAACTCCCGAACCCTGTTCTGGTTAGCAGACCTGAACCTATTCTTTTGGGGACCCTTAAACTTAGGTGTTCCCTGAAAGGACAGATTCTTTAGGTGGCCAATCGCACCTAGATAAAAAAGATTGGTGGCGACTCCCTGAAAGTCAATGTCTAGCGATAGATCCCCGGATCTAGACGTTACGACAGCTTGGCGACTCCGCTGGAGACCTTGAGAGTCAGGCCAGCAAATAATATGTGTTATCCAAAAGCCTAATAAAATTGAACATTTTTCTATATATGTGTATTATTCATTCATGTTTTATTTACCTGTTAATTATGTCATTCATGTGCATGTGCATAACATGAGCTCTACACCTGAGCTCTGTCCCTCTAGGAGGGAGTAAAGTACCTATTGCTTTCGTGAGGTCTAATGCCTCCGTAGTGGCTAGCGAAATACTCCCACTCAAATTGAACCTTTTCCGCTTGTAGCCTGTAATGGGTGAGGATTAGGGTGCCTTACTAGTCTGTGATGGACAAGGATGTAAGGAACAATTTGAGGACCTTTAGACTCTGACTTTAAAACCACATGTAGTGAACCTTAAGAGTGCCTACACCTAGGATAGAGCCCTTTCTACCCAATGATAGATATACCCTGAAATTAAGACACAAAAAGGGTGTTTATCTAATCATTTTGATTGCTTAACTTTGTGTATTATTTTTATCATATGTAACACTATGCATCAGCATCACTTTCATTTCATCCATGGAACTAACTATGTTGTTTGTCTGATTGTATGCATCTGTATTATTTTCATGATCATGTTTTAACATAATCATTTGCATTCATTTCATACTAGATTTCATTCAAAAAAATGTACATTTCATTTGTGTATCAAAGCATCATATATAAAGCATAGCATAACATTTCTAATCATAAATATGGTACTCAAGATCCAAGGATAGCTCCGTCTGGCGAGAACCCTGCTCATCCATACAACACAAGATCCAGAGCAAGGAAAATGGAGGAAGAAAGTTCTCATAGATTTGAAAAGCTAGAAAAAGCTCAGGAGAAGATTGAAAGTGAACTAAGCAAGATTCTGGAGGCTCTTAATAACATGAACAAAGGAAAAGGAGTTGAAGGAAATACAAGCCAGCAAGATGTGGCTGACCCTTTGTACCCTCCAGGTTTTGGCCCACCTCAGGCCCAGCCTGCTCAAGAGGTCCCACCATATTCTGGAATGCCATCAGCTTTCAACCCGGGACAGTATAATAAGCTATATAAATCCTGTCTTCACTGAAAAAATAGCAGAACCAATTCCTAACCTAGATGATCTAAAAGAGAAGGAGAAGGAAAAATGAAGGTAGAAGCTGAAGAAAGTTCCAAGATTAGTATGCTAGAGCAGAGGCTAAGGGCTGTGGAAGGATTTAGCTTTTATGGGTCAGTAGATGCTGCTGGGCTCTGCCTAGTCCCTGATGTGGTTATTCCTTATAAGTTCAAAGTACCAAAATTTGAAAAATATGATGGTACCAAGTGCCCCAAAACCCACATCACCATGTATTGCAGGAAGATGGCAGCTCATGCACATGATGAAAAACTCTTGATGCATGTTTTTCAGGACAGTCTTACTGGCTCTGCCGCCAGATGGTATGTTCAGTTGGATAGGACTCGTATTCGCTCTTGGAGTGATATGGCACATGACTTCATCAGTCAATATCGACACATTATCGATTTGGCTCCTGATCGTTTGTCTTTGCAGAATCTGGAGAAAAAGTCAAACGAGTCTTTTAAAGAGTACGCCCAAAGATGAAGAGATATAGCTTCACAGGTACAATCTCCACTGACAGAGAAAGAGACCACAGTGCTGTTGGTTAGCACTTTAAAACCTCCCTATTATGAAAAGATGATAGGGAATGCAACAAAGAATTTTGCTGACATGGTAATCTCTGGAGAAATTATTGAAAGTGCCATAAAAAATGGCAAGTTAAAAGGAGGAGAAACCAAGAAGGCATCAGAAAAGAAAAAAACTGAAGCTCAAGCTGTGAGCTTTGATAGACAACAATTCAGGGGTTATCAACCCTATCCATCCCAAGGCTACTCTCCATACTATCCCGCTGTGAATAATGCATCATCCTACCCCTACCAGCTAGCCCCACAACCATCTTATTCACCCACTTACCACCTTAACATTCAAGCTCCTGTAAGAACCCAAATTCGTCCTACTCACCCAGCAAGTGGCTCACGAGAACAACGGACTACTCGAGAAAAACCTGTATTTGATCCAATCCCTATGACTTATACAGAGTTATATCGAGAACTCTATAATAGCCACTTGATTGCCCCCAGCCATGTGGAACCACTTAAACCACCCTATCCAAAGTGGTATGATCCTACAGCCCGTTGTGACTACCATTATGGAATTACTGGCCATTCTACTGAAAATTGCACTGCTTTAAGTATAAGGTGCAACGGTTGATCAATGATGGAATGGTAAGTTTTGATCAAGGAAAAGCAACAGCACCTAATGTTAGTGTACTGAGCGAAAGTCAAGAACAGAAAGGATCCGGAGATCACAATGAATTGAAGGGGCAAGATGCCAATGGAGATAAGGCTGGTTGAAGGTTTCTTCTGTCATTTTGGGATTTCTTTTCAAACAATGTTAGATTTTTTTTGCAATATGACTTCACTTGTTATCATTTTAATAAGGGCAAGTTAATGCATTTCATTACATTTTCTCTTTCACTCGACCATTATTCCATGCCCTGTTACCTTTCATGACTTTACATTCCCATTTTCAAATTTTAGATGATGAATATTTAGATAATGATAACAATGATTCTGGGATTTAATTTTGAGAACTCATCCACGTCAATGTGAGGAGATGATTTGAGCAAAA